AAAAACACTCAGGAATATATAATTATTTAAACAACCAAAGGACACATTCTGCAAGCCTGCCTCCTAGCCACCAGCACACAGCCTTTTTCTTTCCGTGAGTGTAGAGTCTTCAGCTGCTCTATCTTTCTAGGTCCTCATTTCTGGCTCCATCTGTGGTGTCACTGCTTCTCTGGATAAGGTTTTACATTCTTCTCATTCTCTTCTCCCTTGATGGTCCTATGGTCCTCTGTTCCTGGACTGTACGATTAACTACTCTCCTTTTTTGTTACAAAACTTCTACCTTTACAGTTGTGACAGTTACAATTAGTCATGATAATAATTACTCACTATTCAATCATAAGAATATTATCCCCATATCTTTTCACTAGACAAGATGAGAACTATTCAGTAAGGATTCTACCTTCCCCCGCATAGTCTGAAACTAAACTCCCTTTTGAAAACTTGTCAGCCACTTACTTTGTGCCTTTATAGCCCCTCTACCCCCCGCCCCCCCATTTTAGGTAGCCAATGTCTAAGTTACCCTATCAGGCCTGTATATAAAGGGGATAGATTGATACTTGATGTGAAGATTCCTTCCTTGTCCGTTGGTATTTTGAGCTACTGCATCCATAAGCATAGTCAAGTTCATCAAACTGTAGCAATTTACACTTGTTTCCTTTATCAAAAAATATATGTTTTTAAATCTTCCTCTAATTGAGTTCTGATCATCAAGCCATAGAAAGTAGGTCAAATGGGTACTATCTACAAGTTTGGGCATTCTTGTGCATCTCCCCACCATTGGTTCCTGATCGTATGTTACCTCTTGAAATAGCTGAATATCACCCACTTCTTTTTGGCACAGTGACTCTACATACCTTCTATCTTCCTTTGATGCTTTCTGCTTCCTTCAGTATCATAAGTGGAGGTTTGAATTTTTTCTTTTTTTTTTTTTTTTTTCCAGAAAGCTTGAGAAATACTTAGCATGTTCTTCCCTTTGGTTTTCTGACTCCAGGTCTTTGCATATTTCATTACAATACTATATCTTCTCCAGTTGCCCTTTGAAATTTTCAACTCTTTTACTTCCTTATTTCTTTCAGTTACTTTAGCATCTCAATACTGGAGAGCAAGTTCAGATCCTCTTCTGACATCCACTGTGGTCTTTTCTCTTTCCTGACTTTAAACAACCTCTTGCTTTTTTTTCTGTATGATATTCTTGATGTCATCCTACAGTTCTTCTGGTCTTTGGTCAATAGTTAAGTGTTCAATGCATCAAATCTGTTCTTGAGATGGTCTCTAAATTTAGTTTCTTCAGCTTCAGCCTAATCTTGCTTATGAGTGATTAGTGGCATGTTCCACAGTCTGCCCTGGCCTTGTTTTGGCTAATTATACTGAGCTTTTTCTACCGTCTCGTCCTACAAATGTAGTCTTTTGCTTCCCATGTATTCTATCTGGTGAGAGCCATTTGTATGGTCATCTTTTATATTATTTTAAAAAGGTATTTGCAGTGAAGAAGTCTTAGTCTTTCAAAATTGCATCATTCGATCTCCAGCATAGTTTCTAACTACTGACCACATCCTCTTCATTTCCAACTTTTGCATTCCAATCACCAGTAATTATGAATACATCTTGATTTCATGTTTGATCAATTTCAGACTGAAGAATTTAGTAAAAATTTTCAAGTTCATCACTGGCTTTACTGGTTGGCACACAGTTTGAATCATAGTGGTATTAACTGGTCTTCCTAGTTGTTATTGTTGTTAAGTGCCATCGAGTCAGTTCGGACTGTGTAGGGTTTACAACACTGTGTAGGGTTTTCTAGGAGCAGCTGGTGGATTTGAACTACTGACCTTATGGTTCAAACTGACCTTATGATCCAGTGCACTATCCTGCACCACCACCAGGACTCCTTAGTAGGCATATGGATATTATCTTATCACAGACAGTGTTGTACTTCAAGAAAGATCTTGAAATGTTCTTTTTGATGATGAAATCTATGGCATTCTTCTGATTCTGCCTCTTCTTCTTCCTAGTCTGTCTTATTCTGGAAGTTCAGCTAAAACCTGTCCATTATGGGTGACCCTGCTGGTATTTAAAATACTGATAGCACAGCTGCCAGCATCACAGCAACATGCAAGCCACCACAGTGTGAAAAACTGGCAGATGAGTGGTGGCTTAAGGGAATATCCTGTCTTTACATGTATCATGAGGCTGTAAGTCCTCCCCATGCTTGTCATCCTAAATGACTGGTCAGGGAAGGTGTTGATTCATCTCGTAATGAAGGCTTTGGTGGGGCCCACCACTGGAAAGTAACAGTCACTTTGAAGTCTCTGACCTGGTTTATGTTTTCTTTCTAGCCCTGAAGCTGGACAGAAAGGCAGTTACAGCAAGCGCTCCTCACAGCTTCCGCACCCTGCTAGGAATGCTTGGAATTGAAGCCTCTCTAGAAAGCCTGATACATTCATTTTTGAATACAAAAGAATAGCCAGTTCACAAAAACTGAACACTTAATAAATAAGATTCTGCACTCAGCAGTTTATAATTTATTGACTATAAACATTTGCTGTTCTCCATTTAGAAATCATATTCTTAAAACATGCTATCTATGCAACATGGCACATATATATAAACTGTCATGACATGGAAAATAAATACAGCTATTTAAATACAAAATGCCAAATACAAGTGACATGTATAGTGTATTTTTTTAAATAAGGTTAACATCTGAATAAGTGTACCAAGAGTGATTGTAAATCCTTAGTTGCCTGCAGAGATTTTATGAGCACAAGTCTGGGAGTGATGGTGGCAGTGCTGGAGGTCCCATGGAGGGCTCCTGGTGGCAACACCCTGGCCTAGCCTTATTTTTTAAACATTTTTTTGCTTCCCAATGGGAAACTGGGCCGTTCAAGTCCTTGGGTTGTGCTACATTCACCTCCACTGTTGTATCTGAAACCCAACTAAAGCAGCAGTTGGGACATTCACAGCACCTATAAGCAAATCCCCTGACATTTGCTTTTCTTGGTCCTCACTCCACGTGGCACTGCTAGCTTTAGAAGAGCAGAGTGAGACCGAAGGTAGCACTGCTCCTTCCCTTAGCAGCCTGTCCACCACCAAGGGGACCTGCTCCTCTCCATCGGGCCTAGTGTTGTTGTCTGCAGTGCTATGAAAGTGCTGTATTAATCATGGTTGCATTGAGCACCTCCACTGCCAATTTAAAGTATTGTTATACTCAGTAAAAACATGCTTTTTCAAAGGTACGAACATCACAGACAGGGAAACAGCCCTCAAGCTGGAGACTGAGCAGTGCTTGGCCACAAGGCCCAATCAAGCCTGGGACAGACACACAAACACACACACACACACACACACACACACACAGGAAATGGGTATGACCTCTGTCTCATAATGGCTGTAGACCCACACACAACAAATGGCCAGGAAGTATACGACAAGGTCCTTCGAAGGAGGGCAGGTTTCATCTGGTTTCATTTTTCCCAAAAAGAGGAGATACGTTTTAATACTGTTCAGCCCTGCTAGGAAGTGAGCACGAGGCAGGTGCTTGCACATGTGACAGGATAACATCCCAATCCCTGGTCTGAGGACACACCATGCTGCCTCTGCACAGGTCCTTCCAGCAGGCCTGGTTATCTTGAAGGGTTCTTTTGACCCCAATCAGGTTAAAAAACAAAGAGCAATGGTTGCACGTCTTTGTCTATGTTCTCTGGAGGAACAAAAACAATGAAACATATGTATACAGATATGTATCTAGAATATATATATATATATATGTATATATATATAGAGAGAGAGAGAGACAGAGATTTACTTCAAGGATATGGCTCACACAGGTGTAGGTGCTAGTAAGTTCCAAATCCGTGGGTCACCTGAAGACCCATGCGGGGCTGGAGACCTCGCTTGCTCATGCGACGCTGAAGTCGATGAACACAGAATCTGTAGGTCAGAGAGCAGGCTGGAGACCTCTATAGGCGTACATCCCAAGAACAGATCAGGCAATGAGAAGAGTGCAGAGTTCAGAAAGACTGCAAGCTGTGCCTGACCATCTGTTTATAGACTGGAGCCAGAGCATATCCTCAAGGAATCTCCTCTTTCAACTGACTGGCTGATCATTTCCTATCACAACAAGGAAAGTGATTACATTGTATTACAGTATGGAAGACCACCAGTCCACTGTATGCCAAACCACTGAGCATTATAGCTTAACTAAGCTGACATATCATCTCCAGAGCTGCAAGTCACCATATGCCTAAGCATGCTTTTCACCCTGATGCTGCTGAATGTATACCAGAGTCGTACGTGATGTAAGACCAGAGGAAGAAAGTAGTGACAGCAACTGCCTCCAAGAGTGGAATGAAGAAGTAGCAAATATTAGGACAGATTTGAACAACAAATTTTAGAAGAGATGACTTGGTTCAAACAAGTGTAAGTCTCAAGTTAGCACAAAAATTTCGATAAAAATTCACAATCAGCAAAATATTTGCCTTGTTTTTCATATAGCATTGTCATATAATTCCATGGTTCCACTAATATTTTGCTATAGTATGCCTTCATTTGTCCCTCAAAATGATGATATTATCAATTTGTACTACCTTCAATAGAAAAAACTTAATCCAAGACCCCAGTAGGGTTTCCTAGCAGCTGAACACACACTGGTGACTATAAGCAGGGCCTCTGAGGGCTGGCGGGGCACTTCTCTTCCCACCAGCCCAGCCCACACACCAACAACAGGGATGAACCTATCAGAATGCCCAGCAAAGACAAACATGTCAGGCGCTTGCACCCTTGGATGCTGGCCCAGCTGGCCGCCAGCAGCTCTACATCACTGCTACCTTCCACAGCAGCAATTTCAGGTGGGAACAAATATACCATTGCACTCCCTAATGTAAAAGATGAAACTATTCAGCCAAAACAAAGTAAATGCTTGACAGAGGGGTGTCCCTTAACAAGAGCCTTGCACTCCCTGCTGGCCCAGGCAGTCACCTTTTGGATTCCAACCCTACCTCCACAGGGACCCTGAGTCTGGGCTGTTGACACCATCGCCACCCAAGCCAACACACTTGCACTCTACAACAGAGGGTGGTTCACACTTAAAAACCAACCATGTAACTCAACTGAGGCAAAGTTCCAGTAGAACCCATGTCCTTCATCCAAGCTGTAAGATGTACATGACAATTCAAGTTTTCTGTTAGGAGTATGGTGGTAGGAAACCCAAATTTTGGGTCTCAATAATAAGGCTTTTTTCATTAGAGAATCAGATGCGAGCCCTGTTGAAAATGAGAAACTACCCAGAATATCTTCCCAGAAATTCTGCGGAAACTTGTTTTAAGAACATACAAGGCCTTCCTGGGAAACAGCATACTGCTGGGCTCATACATTCCTTCTCCTGGAAGACGTTTCAAGTGCTATTCAATTTCATGTCTATGAGAGGCACCCACACTTCAACAAAAGTTAAAGCAAAAACATTCACAGCCAGAAGTCACCCAACAGAAAATAGCTCTATCATTAGCCGTCACATTCTACGTTTGAGCTCCACAACCATTGTAGGAGAGACGTTAGACTTTGTGGAGAAGGAGTGTGCAGTCCTCATTTCCCTTGAATCTGGGTGGCGTGGCCGTGGCAGCATCCTTGGCACACACAGTCTTTGAGTAGTAGCTGACAATCTTGCCATCCAGTGTGTACTGGTGAGGAATGCTCTCGTAGGGCTTGAGGTCAAGGTCCAGCACAGACACAGAGAAGGCAAGACGGGATTTCGACGAAGGAACGATGGGTCTTTGACCAGGGCTGGAAATACAAAATGCAATGCTGAGACTACACATAACCCTCCATGTCCTACACCCCAACTCACAGGCACAGCCATGCAGGGCACGGCATTGTGTCTGCTGGTAGTACAGCACACATACAAGGAAACTTTGCCAACACCCACTTAACCAGGCTAGCAGACTTGGACTCGAATGAGAGAGGGTTAACAAATCTACAAATATGGAAAAGCAGTTATGTAGGACATATGTTTGATATTCCTCTTGTCCCAGTGGTTTAATTTTAAGCACCAAGCTAGTCACTTTATTATGAGCCAAGTACACCGAACAAAGAACAAGGAAAATGTAGGCTTGGCCACTCCACTGTCTGGGAAAACACTCATGTCCCTTCATACTTTGCACATTCATTAAAAGAGAGATGTGGTTTTGTGGCTTACTTCTCAAACTGTATCTATAATGCTTTTTATTTTTTTCTTAGGATTTTTCAGGGTTTTGTTCTTTAAATATCAGAATACAATGATTTGTGCCTAAAAATACTTTCAGAATACTCCGAATCTTGCACTAAGTTCACTATTCTGAGTGAGTTCCCTGCAGAAGTAAGCTTTCGAGTTGAGTGGCCACATCAACGGTACAGACTCAGATGAACTCACGAGATATACCTGAGGACACAGCTTCTCTATAGGCGCAGTACTCTCTTAGATTTAGAAACATTTAAAAAACCACCAATGTCAAAAGGTTCAGCCTGGGAGTGGGAAGGAGTTCACTAAGCCTTCATGTTTTAATGATGCTAATCAAAGACTCTGAATTTCTGTGTAAATAAATGGTCACAGGTAAATTCCTGCTCCAGAATCTTGTTAATAAGAAAAACACAGTCATCGGTTCAGTTACTCTTTCCCAAAAAGTACAGAAAAATAGTACGTTTACAAATGGAGGAATCCTATATTCAAAGCTGGCAGGGCCTTGGATGCCCAGATACTGAACACAGACCTATGCCTACTCAGTCAAGGCCAAAGACAGCAGCTCCAGATGGCCATGTAGATGCATAGCCAGCAACTGACAAGAGTTGAGGTTTATAAAGGCCCTTCAATTTCTTGTGTCAAAGCCATCACCTAACCAGGTGACATTGCAACAGACAGGGAGGGTATGTAAACCAATAGTTTCATCTTTCCTGGTGATAGCTGTGGGGAATTTTACCATCTTGGTATCCAGGAACACCACAGGAGACAGATTCTCCAGCCAGCAGCAGAGCCCTGACGGTGGCAAATGCCTTCTTGGCACTTCACCCAGGCTTGGAGACCTGGAGGGACGGTCCCAGGACATATGGTGAAGAGGCCAAGGCTGACCCTCTCCTGCCAACCCTGGTGCTGAATGGGGGCCTGTGGCCTTGTCCCACTTGCATGTCTGTTTCCTCTGGGCCACTGACAAACTGAGAGGGCAACCCAGAGACGAAGAGGCCCGGAAATAGTTGCTTCTTTGAAAAGTTGAAGAGACTGGGTGCAAGGTTTGAAGAAGGAAGTCCAGAGGAGCAGTATGAGTCAAGGAAACAAAAGAGTCTCTGGCGACTGCACTCTCACTGTATTTCTGAACAGGGAACGTGTGCTGGAAGACAGGCCCTTTTCTTTTAACAGGGCAAAAGACTAGAGCAAAGCAGTCTGGAGACACCTTTGTTTCAGATGGTGTGATGAGTATGTATAATTAACAATTGTTACTGAGCTGAATGTAGATGGTTGTAAATTTATCTCAGGTTTAGTGTCCCAAGAATTCAGTGAGGACTCAGATGACACAGTGTTTGGCGCTGAACAGTCTTTGGTTTTCTGTAACGGGGCAATTTCCTTTGTTAAAGGGAAATGTCAAATCACAGAACCTTAAAATAGGGAGGCTGCCCAGGCCCGGCTGCCCACAGGCCACTCTTCTCAGCATCTTTCACACCTGGATCAAGGGGTCCTAGTTTTCAGGCCCTTCCTGGGCATCCCACTCTCAATGTTGCCTCAAAATGGTGCCCAAGCACCACAGGACACTGCCTGGACACAGCCTCCAGGAAGGTCGGTTCGCCTAGACCAGTAGAAACCCAGTGTCTCTGCATTCCCCCCGACACACCCTGTCACATCACTTCCATCCCATAACCACTGGTGCTATCCAAAGATACTTCTCACTGATCTTGTTGCAGTAACTAAACATGATTCTAATGACGTGGAAAAGTCCTCATGATTTATAATGTTATATCTCATGATATAACATTATAAATAATATAATAATATCATCGATTCCTTCTTTTGGGACATTTATTGTTTTTAAATCCAAACAGTGCTTCAGGAATCTATTCCAGCAGCGTCTCCTGAATACATTCTGGAAGTGTATCCTTGGTTCTCATCCCTTTCACACTTGCTTTCTTTTTCAGTCTTTGTCAATTTGGTAAAGACAAAAGGAAAAATGTGTTGTGCCCATGAGGTCAGCTGGGCCTTGGTGTGTCTTAGCCCATCATGCCTGATTCTGGTTCTGCCATGTGGAGGCTACTGGCAAGTCTCCTCCATCTTTTTAAAATAAATCCAGTACTCTCTGCTTCTGTCGAGGAGCAGTCAGATGGAGTGCTCTAGGACTCACATTTCCTGTATCCCACCCTCATCAGCCAGCAACCTTTGTGATCTACACCGCCTGACACCTCTTCCACATGTCAGTTCCTAATGGGCAGCCAGTCATGGTATAATGGGGACTCGAGCCCTTCAGGGGTCTTTTGGATCCCATCTTTCAGCCTCTGTCCTCTGACATGTTTCCCAACAACATCTGATTCAGGAAGGATGGAGTTATCTCCCATCTAACAAGACTAAGAGTAGGGGCTCTTCAAAGACTATGACAGGCATTTTCAGCTGCAGAAAACACCCTCTTTCCTACTTTAGTTCTGTCCTCTCAGTGTTTCTCAGTGTCTCAGAGCAGAAGGTAGGACATTCTGGGCCTGCCAGGGAACAGAACTTTCTGGAAACTGCTGAGTTCAAAAGCATTAGGAAAATAATGGGTATCAGCCAACAACAAAGGTCATCTTGACGTGGGAAAACATGAGAGTCACTAGGAAGAATGCAACCTTTTAATAATACTTGGAATTTGGCACCTCTGAGTCCCTGGATAATGCAAATGGTTAATGCACCTGGCTACTCCTAAGTGTGGAGTCCTGATGTGGCACTGTAGCATAAGCACGAGACTGCTAACCATAGGTAGGTGATTCAAACTCACCAGATGCTCCTTGGAAACCCTATAAAGGATTGCTATGAGTCCAAACTGACTCGGCGGCACTTAACAACAACTACTACTAAATGTACGGTGGCTCCATACAATTAAGCACTGGACTGTGAACCACAGGGTTGGCAGTTTGAATGCACCAGCCATTCTGTGAGAGTAAGAAGAGGCTTTCTGTTCCCACAAAGACTTAAAGCTGTAGAAACACTATACAGGGTTGCTATGGGTTGAAACTGACTTGGCAGAACTTGACAACAATAACTACTATGCCCACCATTTGTCTGTCAGTGTGTCATACGATGGCACCTTGTATGTTGCTGTGATGCTAGAAGCTCTGGCACCAGTAGTTTAAATATCCATGGTGGGCAGGTTTCAGCTGAGCCTCCAGACTAAGACATACTAGGAAGAAGGAGAGTAGACTACTTCTGAATGGTTAGCCACTGAAAACCTTACGAATGGGACCAGAATATTGTCAGATGTAGTGCTAGAAGATGAGCCCTGCAGATTCAAAGACACTCAAAATGCAACTGGGGAAGAGCTGCCTCCTCAGAGTAGTTTACCATAGTGACGTGAATCGAGTAAAGCTTTCAGGACCTTCATTTGCTGATGAAGCGCAACTCAAAATGAGAAGACACAGCTGCAAACATTCATTAATAATCAGAACATAGAATGTACGTAGTCTGAAACTAGGAAAATTGGAAGCTGTCAAAAATGAAATAGAATACATAAAGATTGATACCTTAGGCATTAATGAATTGAAATGAACTTATACTGGTCATTTTAAATCTGACAATCATATGGTTTACTACATCAAGACGATAAATTGAAAAGGAATGGCGTCACATTCATCATCAAAAAGAACATTTCAAGATCTATCTTGAATTACAACTCTTTCCGTTATAGTATAATATCCATACACCTTAAACTTCTGGTATAACACTTTAGGATAAGCACTAGACTGCAAACCACAAGGTCAGCAGTTTAAATCCCTAAGCTGCTCCTCAGAAACCCTACACATGGTCACTATGAGTCAGAATTAACTCAAAAAGCACTAAACAACAAGGAAGACCAGTAACTACTACTATTATTCACCACAACACTAAAGCCAGTGATAATGAAATTGAAGAATTCTATCAACTTCTTCACTCTGAAATTGATCAAACATGTAATCAAGATGTATTGATAATTACTGATAATTGGGATGCAAACGTTGGAAACAGAGGAATAACCAATAGCTAGAAATTATGACCTTGGTGATAGAAATTATATTGGAGATTGCACAATAGATTTTGCAAGACCACAGTCTTAACCCATTATAAATACCTTTTTTGAAGAGCATAAAAGGTGTCTTTACACACATGGACCTCACAACAAGGAATATACAGGAATCAAACTGACTACATCTGTGGGCAGAGATGGTAGAAAGGTGGAAAAGCTCCATATCATCAGCCAAAATAATGCCAGGGGCAAACTGTAGAACAGACCATCAATTGCTCATATGCAAGTTCAAGCTGAGGCTGAATAAAATTAAAACCAGTCCAGAAGAGTCAGAATATGACCTTGAACATATACTACCTGAATTTAGAGATCATCTCAAGAATAGATTTGATGCATTAGACACAATGACCCAAAACCAGAAGAGTTGTGGTTAACATGAAGAACATCATACAGGAAGAAGGAAAGGATCATTAAAAAGACAGGAAAAAAAGACCAAAATATCAGAAGAGAATCTGAAACTTGCTTGACAGCATAGTCACTAAAGCGTCTGGAAGAAATGAGGAAGTAAAAGAGCTGAGCAGAAAATTTCAAAGGGCAACTGGAGAAGACAAAGTCAAACATTATAATAAAATGTGCAAAGACCTGGAAGTTAGAAAACCAAAGGGAAGAACATACTCAGTTTTTCTCAAGCTGAAATAATTGAAAAAAAAATGCAAGCCTCCATTTTCAATATTGAAGGATTGTGAGTTAATGCGCCAGACTGCAAAGTCGTTTGAATCTCAAGGTCGGTGGTTCAAGCTCACCAGTCACTCCTTGGAAACCCTATACAGGATCGCTATGGGTCGGGATTGACTCAGTGGCACTTAACAACAACAACATAGGCAAAATACTGAATGATGCAGAAAGCATCAAAAGAAGTTGGAAGGAATATACCGAGTCACTGTAGCCAAAAGAAATTGTCAATGCTCAACCATTTCAAGAGGTAGCATATGATCAAGAACTGAAGATATTGAAGAAAGAAGTCCAAGGTGAACTGAAGGCATTGGCAAAAAAGGTGCCAGGAATTGATGGGATACAAATTGAAATATTTCAACAAACTAATGAAGTACTGGAGGCGTTCACTCATCTATGCAAAGAAATTTGGAAGACAGCTACCTTGCCAACTGATTGGAAGAGATCTATATTTGTGCCCATTCCTAAGAGAAATGACCCACTGGAGTGTGAAAATCATCAAACAATACCATTAATATCACAATGAAATAAAATTTTGCTGATGATAAAAAAGCTACAGCAGTACATCAATAGGGAGCTGCCAGAAATTCAACCCAGATCCAGAAGTGGCCATGCTTACATCAGATGGATCTTGGCTGAAAGTAAAGAATACCAGAAAGACACTTACTTGTGTTTTATTGACTTGTGTTGGCTTTCGACTGTGTGGATCATGACAAGATATGAATAACATTGCTAACAATGAGTATTTCAGAACACTTAAATTGTGCTCATGAGGATCCTGTATATAGACCAAGAGACAGTTAGAACAGAACAAGGGGATACTGAATAGTTTAAATCAGGAAAGGTGTGCACCAGGGTTGTATTCTTTCACTATACTTATTCAGTCTGTATGCTGAGCAAATAATCCAAAAAACTGGATTAAGATAGGAAAAAGAATGTGGCATCAGGATTGGAGGAAGACTCATTAGCAAAGTGTGATATGCAGATGATACAACCTTGCTTGCCAGAAGCAAAGAGATCTGAAACTACTTACTGTTGAAGACCAAAGAGTATAGCCTTCAGTATTGCACCTCAATGTAAAGAAAACAAAAATCCTTACAACTGGATCAATAAATAACATTATGATAAACGGAGAAAAGATTGAAGTCAAAAACGTCATTTTGTTTGGATCTACAAAGTACATGCATGGAAACAGTAGTCAAGAAATCAAATGACTTATTGCATTAAGCAAATTTGCTGCATAAAGACCTCTTTAAAGTATTCAAGAGCAAAGATGTCAGTTTGAAGTCTAACGTGTACATGACACAGCCATGGTATTCTGAATGCCCTCATATGCATGTGAAAGTTGGACAATGCATTTGGGTTATGGTGTTGGAGAAGAATATGGAAAATACCATTGAAGGCTAGAAGAACAAACAAATCTGTGTTGAAAGAAGTACAACCAAAATGCTCCTTAGAAGCCAAGATAGCCAGACTTTGCCTCTCCTACTTGGGATATATTATCAAGAGAAATGATATCCCTGGAGAAGGACATCATGAAAAGTAAAATGGAGAGTCATTGTAAAAGAGAAAGACGCCCCCAAATTCCCTAAGGAGATGGACTGGCACAGTGGCAGCAGTACTGGGCTCAAGCATAACAATAATAATTGTGAGGATGTGACCGGTCAGTGTTTCATTCTATTGTGCACAGGGTCGATAGGAGTAGGAACCAGCTTGACAGCACCTAATAACAACTGCTAAACCAAAGATTGGCGGTTCGAGTCTACCCAAAAGCATCTCAGAAGAAAATCTTGGCAATCTACTTCTGAACAAATCAGCCAATACAAACCAACTGGAGCACAATTCTATCCTGACACATGTGGGGTAGCCATTGACTCGCAAGTTTGGTTTGTTGAAGATCAAAAAATATTGAAACTTGATCAATGCTGAAGACACCAGCCATTTAATTACCATGAGAAGATTATGCGATTTGTCCTTAATTATAAAATAAAGGGACTGGGGCTGGCCAACAATGATGATGCTCAGGCTAAGTAAAGGAGAATTGCTGCAGACACTGAAGGAACAAAATCTTAAAAAGGTTCTGAATAAGTGAGATGATAAATATTGTAACATCCTGCTGACCTGACAGAAAACTGAGAAGCAAAGCTCAGAGACCCCACAACACTGCAGAAATCATATCTGGACCAGGGGGTCTTGGGGCTTCTTTGAGAAAGGCATTTACAGCACAGTATTCAAATTGTTTCTAATCCCTTGACTATTCCCTCAGTCAATGATTGTTGTTGTTAAGTGCCTCCCAGTTGGTTCCGACCCCATATAGGGTTTCCAAGGAGCAGCTGGTGGGTTTGAACTGTCGACTTTGTGGTTCAGTGCTTTATCCCACAGTGCCACACCAGGATTCCTTAATCAATGATAACACTTTTCAATTTCCTACAACAATCCCTCCCTCGTAGTTATTCTCTATCCAAGCTGCCCGGCCAGTCGGCTGCTAAGATCTGTACCCTCAGAGGGCCCCTCCCAAGTCCTGTGACCCGCTGCCATCCTCACCGTTCATCCTGCAGGCAAGGGGAGAGGGTGATCATGATGGAGCAGTCCTTGGCGGTCATGGCAACGCGGTACTGCTGCACCTGCAGAGGAGGAGGAGGTCAGCTGCAGGCCACATACCCCAACGCCACTGACATGAGAGCCCCTAAAATGTCATCTCCAGCCTTCCCACCTGTCAAGGCCAATAACTGGTTCCTTTCAAAGAACCCAATGTAGGATGAGTTAAAACACTGAGCAGGAATGCTCCAAGGTCAAGAAGGGCACCAAGATGTCTACTCACACATGCCCCAACCTGAGAGCCCCCAACCAGCACAGCCCCAGAGAGCACCTTGCAAAGGCTAGCCCTATCCTCTGACTCCTTCCTGCAAGAAGTGTGTGGCTCTCCAATCCCAAACCCTGAACTCAATTCCTTATCTTTCTGTCTTCAGCAAGCTAAGAAAAACCTGTCTTTGAAGACAAAAAAGGCCTTCTCCCAAATGCAGTAAAGTCACACCAACCACTGAACAAGCATCTCTCCACACTCTGAAGAAGGACATTCTGCCAGGTACTGCTCAAACAATGTCACATACAACATCAGTGTTCAACAGAAGGAGCTTCATCAGTATAGTAGATCACTCTCACATGTGGCTATTATAAATTTCCACCCTCCGATGTGTTGTGCATGTGTTGCCACACTCACTCTTCAAACAACTCAACAAAGCAGGCACCAAGCACTGCTACTATTCCCACTTTATACATTAAGGTGACCATGACAGAGATCAACTGTCCAACACCCACTGCTGAGAAGTCAACATCAGTGGTCTGGACCAAAGCTGTGCCCCACACACTGAGCTGTAAGCCTACATGGCCCCTGCTTATGTGAGGCTGGGTGCACGGGCATGTGCACCCAGGACGACATAAGGACATCCGTCCACGTAGTAATATCTCTGGAAAACATCAGCACTAGACTGCTAACTGCAAGGTTGGTGGTTCAAACCCACCAGCCACTCATCGGAAACCCTAGACAGGGTCACTATGAGGTGGAATTGACTCCACAGCATTTAACAACAACAGGCACACTTACCTCCCCTTTTTCTTTGGACTTTAATTTATTATTTAAATTTTGTTTAGGTTGAATAGCTTTCATGTTACATATATAAACTACAATAAAAGAATTGGGCTTTAAACGTTTATCACTGGCTTCAATATTTGTACTGAGTACAAGTCATAATTTCTTACCTCCCTTTTACTCATCCCCCTTGATTTCATGCAACTAGGAAGATCTGTCCTTAAAAACATATCTAAGCTATACCTTAAAAAACACAGGACACCATCGGAAGAAGTGGGGAGAGCCCAAAGTGTAGGTGTCTTTCAGGTTTGCTGCCTGTTAACCTGTTCTTTGGGGACCTGGGATAACCTTTTACAATAGAAGACACCAGCAACTCCTATGCTTACACTCTATTCATCTATGCAAGTGATCAGTTATTTCACTGAACACACACACAATTCCAGTAAAACAAAACAAAAAAACACACTAAAACTTTTTAAATACTAAAAAACAAAAATACAGAAGAATATTTATTATGCACTTAACATAGGGCTGGTCTTTGTAAGTAAAACCCAAAAGCCATAAAAGATTTTTTTTGAGCTATCTGAATTCTAAAACATTTATACATGATATAGTCATAGTTCAACAGTAAAAGGCAAATGAAAGCCAGCATAAAGTATTTGAAGCATACAAAAGGAGTAATATCAAGAAAAGTAAATTGACCAAAAATACTCCATCTCACTACTAATCAAGAAAATAAAAATTAAAACAAGGAGATCTTTCTCACCAATTGTTGATGCTGCTGAGTCAACTCAGTGACCCCATATGGCAGAGCAGAACTGCCCTTTAGGCTTTTCTAGGTTGCCACGTTTTCAAGAGCAGATCACCAGAGCTATCTCCCTCAGACCCCCTGGGTGGGTTCAAGCCACCAACCAACCTTTTGGTTAGAAACCAAATGTTTCATCATATACCACTTGTTGTTGTTGTTATGTGCCATCGAGTCGGTTCCGACCCACAGCGACCCTGTATAGGATTACCGAGGGTGTAAATCTTTACGGGAGTAGAAAGCCTCATCTTTCTCCCGCGGAGCAGCTGGTAGTTTCGAACCACTGACCTTAAGGTTCGCAACCCGATTCGTAATCGGGAGGGAAGGGTGGAGGTGGGCAGGGGGAGAGAGATCTATAAGGGGGCTTCAAACAGTTCGTGCAAAAAGTCCAAGATCTTTTCACTCCTTTTTCCCACAAACTTTTTGAAGCCCTCTCATAAAAGCAAATACACACGAAATATAAAATGAAGGAGCTAGACCTTTACTTCTAGTAATGGCAGGACTAGTGAACTGTGGCCAACTTAAAATGCTTGACAAACCATCTAACACATCTGCTTGAAGGCAGAACTAACACAACGAAGGAATTGCTGGAGCATGGGGTAAGGGAGCAATCGTGACAGGTCTGCAGGGAGGAATTTCTAACTGATCTCCAGGGCGCCAGGAACCATTACCCTGTTGACACTCCTCTTTGAGTTGTTGTGGTCCTTAAATGCTGTTGAGTCAGTTCCAACTCATAGGGACCCTGTATAGGATTTCCAGGGAGTGGCTGGTGAGCTTGGGCCACTGACCTTGCAATCCAGAGTTGCACCAAGATTAAAGTCAACCAAAAGTCTCACTAGTCACTACAACTTTGCTGCAAGAAGATCAATCACTAAAACTGGATTAAGGTAACTTCAGCTTGCTAGTGCTGCCCAGGCCACTTACAGAAATGAATCTAGGAAACGATTATATGTTTCTAAAATAACTGTACAAATACAACTTCTGGCATACAATAAAATAATATGCAGGCACAAGAAGATAACAGAAATGAAAATCAAAAAAGGAAAAGAAGAAAGATAAGAGGACATCTCACATGGGTTCCAGATATTAGAGGTACCAGACACACACACTACTCTGATCAAGGAATGAGAGACAAAAATTGAGAACTTTAGGGGAGAACTGGAGACTATAAAAAGGAAGCATTTTGAAATCCTAGTAATACAAAATACAAATATCAAAATGAACAATTCAACTGATAATTTTAACAGCAGATTAGAAGACATCCAGAACAAAGCATGGAAAGTACAACAGTTGGAAAATATCAAGGAACATGTATGAGATAAAGATAATGTGTCTAACATGTGTCATTAGAGTCCCTGAAGAAAAAAGGAATGTGCAAAACAAATTTTGAAAAAGTTAGGCCAAGAATTCTCTAGAACTGAAGAAAAACATCAAAGCCACATACTTATAAAAGCTTCTAAGCAGGATAAATATAACAAACATAAAAAATCACTTGCACACATCATTAAGAATTTGTTCCCAGCAGAACTAACTACAGAAAAAATTAAAAGGGTGTTCTTCAGCCAGAAACAAAACGATTGCAGATAAAAGCCCAGAGATTCAAGGTGCAATGAAAAATGATACAAGGGATACATACGCGGATACATCTAAATGGATATTGTATAAAACAATAATAATGTTTTGTTGAGTTTAAAATAACAGAATATACAACAACAACGGCAATGTGAGTCAGGAGTAGCAATAAATGTATTATAAGAACCTTGCATTGTCTAAGAACAGGGTTGAAATACTGTAATATTAACTTTAACAAGTCAATTCCTTGTTGCAATACCTAAGAATATCATTTAACGAAAGACTCCAACTTTCAAATGAACAGAGTAGAGAAAGGAATGATAAAAATAGATTCTAACAATGGAAAACAAAAAAAGATTCTAGCAAAGACGAGGAAAAAAAAAAAGCTAAAATAGGTGAGAAGAATTAGAAAAATATAAACCTAGATAAAAGACAAGAAGATAAAATGTCAGAATAGATGAAAATAAATAAATAAATTTGTAACTCACATATAGGCCACACTTTAAATACAAAGACACAAAAATGCTGTAAATAATGAAGGTAGTAAGTCAAAGAGTATTGCTACTAGGGTTTAGTTCACACATGCTAGGGTTTATATGAAACAAAACCTGTTTAAGTCTGTCTCTGCAATTGCTGATTGGCTACAGCCAAGTTCTCTCAGTAATAATACACTTGTCTTAGTCTTAGTTGTTATTGTTGTACAGTGCCATTGAGTCAGTTCCGACCCATAACGAACCTGTATAGGGTTTCTGAGGAGTGGCTAGTGGGTTTGAATCACCAACCTTGCTGTTCAAGCTGACACTGTGGTCCAGCACGTTATTCTGCAGCACCACACCAGGACGTAAAAAATATAGGTCCGTCTAAACAGTGAGAACCTGCTGGACCAGTTCAATTCAAGGCAAAGAGGTCAACTCACAAGGTTACAGTGATTATTTTTGGGATTCCAAATGGGTATCTTGATAGATTTTCTCAAAGGATAATCATAGGGGCTTATTATGAAAAAGTTTTAGGAAGCATAAAAAACTGCACAGATAAGAAAAAGGACAGAAAATTTGCAACAAAGATTTTTATTCTCTCATGACAGTGTACCTGCTCATTCTTTGAGGGTAGTCAAGGCTGTCCTACAAGAATTTTGTTGGGAAACCTTATCCCATTCATCATACAGTTCCTGTTCTTACTCCTCCAGACTTGATTTTTGTTTTGTTTTTTTAAAAAAACCAAAACTTTATATCATGAATTTAGTGAAGGTTAACAGACAAGATTCTCAATTTTACATTTAACAAATTATTCGCTTCGTTACATCTCAATGGCTACAATCCCTTCCCTGCAACAAGTTATCCTACTTCTGCCCAGTGACCCCCCATTTATATCTTATATATCACAAATGAGGAAAGCAAAAATTTGATGTATACATACAAAACAAAAAATATCCATTTAAATGTCCTAAGGGCATATTCTGCAAACCAGCCTCCAGCCTACAGGCACACAGCCTTACTCAGTCCATCAGCCTAGAGCCCACAGCTGCTCTATCTCTCCATACCACTGCCTCTGCTGTCACCACTTTTTTAGGTAGGATCTCATGCTCCACTCATGCAGATTTGTTTTTGTTTCCCAAACTCAAAGAATATGAGTATTGCCTTAACCCAAGGACCCAAAAG